TGATATAATAATTGGAGAGGGTCTCCTCAGCCATTGTGTAGGACAGGGTTTGATTCCCTCAATGGGTTACAGCTCACCCTTCCTCCAGTACCATAGTAGATGGCTGCACCCACTTCAATTACCTAGTAACACCTGGAAGCAAATTCTGCAACCAGCACTCTAGACCTTGATGGAGTTTCCAAAGTCCTCCAGTTTTCACTATTCCAACTGTACTTCCCTCCTCTTGACACACCTTTTACCTAAACAAGGTGAAAGTGGAAATGCATTCCTCTATCTCCTGCTTAGTCAAGGCTTTTTTCCCTGATTCTCACTTAACTGAAGATTTTTTTTCTCTAGTTCTAGTGTCCTATGCTCATGAACTAGAGATCTGTGAGGCGGTTCCTAGAGTTCTCTTTCAGTTTAGGGCAATTACATACCTGATTTTTTCCCCAGTGTTTACAGTGTAAATTGGAGTCTCTCGTAATTTTGATATATATTCCATTCCTATCACACTTTTCTTACTGCCAGAGAAAATCTGACCAGAGAGCTGCAGACTTGCCACTGTAATGCAGATATGAATGAGCCTCGTCTTTGACAGCAGAGACAACTCCAGTGATCAACCACGAGGAATTTATATTCAGTGTCTAGCACCATGGCTGTTCATTGTATCCTTTCCCTCTCTCTTTTACAGAAAGTATAAGCAATAAAAAAAAAATTATTGGGAATAAATGATGGCTATTCCTCATTCTTCATTATTTCATTCTCAATCATACTGTTATGGTTTCCTCGTTGAAGTGAGAAATATCTTTAAATTGATTTCAAGTGGTGATTTTAATGATTTTGCTTTATAGTCATGAATAGACTTGAGTTTCAGAAAGAAATCTGGAAGAAAGTCAAAGAAGATTCCTCTTCCCTTTACTTTTAGGGGCAAATACAATGGCTACGACACACATGAGAACTACTACTCACGATGAAATTATCTGAGTCTACTCACCTGTTCGATCTGTTTGTACCATATCATCAGCACTTCCTCTAACTGATGAACAGTTTCTGAATTGCCGGCTGCAGCAGTCACCTCTTCAAAGGTATGCAGTTTGGAAAAATCAACATTATCTATTGTCTTTAACTTTACTGTTCCTTCAATACTTATTCTAGCACCTACAAAGGAAAAAACAATATTAAGAAAAGAGGTGTTTCATGTCAATGTGTTAAATGTTAATGTGAGCTTTCAATTTGTAATTACTGAAATGTTAAAGATCTAATACTTTATAGAAATTTGTAATAGAAATATAATTCTAATTGACCATTAGACTGTAACTTGATTAATAAAACTGTATGTGTTAACAGT